ACGCAAAACATGGATCCTATAACTGGATATGATTAGAGTTTGTAATTGCTAATTATTCCTCGCATGCCTTATTCGGATAGACATGCGCCGAAAGCACATATTAAAAGACTTGATGTGTATCAAACTACTCATTTTATATACAAATTTCTTAGTCCGTAAAATATCAAATAAGTTAGCTTGTTAATATCTACTTGTTTAGTAAAATATCAAATAAGTTAGCTTATATAAGTCTCTTTTTAAAAAGCTGGTGTGCCTCAGCTTTTGAAAAACTAACTTATAAGCTCATCGAAATAAATTAGGTTTGACTACAAAATTATTGTTCTGCCCAACTAATTTTTATAGCATTTTTATCATAAAAGCTAAAAGCCAGTAAAAACTAACGTAACTTATAACGTTCAAAGAATAAGTCCACCCAAACGCCCTCTAAGCACATAACTCGTGAAGCTGATGTATTAATGTAATTAATTAGCATTGACTTTGGTGCCACAACTGACTCGTAATAGTCATCTTTGTTCAATTAATAAGAGAGAGAGAGAGAGGAAAAAAAATCAGCCAGTCTACACCTCAGCCTTGAGAGAGAACAATTGTCTATGCTGTGTGGCTCAGTAATCTCATTTTAAAATCATAAATCCACTAAATTCAATCTTTTCTTAATTCTCTTTTTTTTTATTTTAAAGAAAGTGGTAAGAAGATGACGAGATCCATAAATATGTTTTTTTACTAACTCTCTTCCCCTCTTCCACAAAATTCCAATCTTGAGGAGGAAAAGTTTCCCACAGTGGAATTTGTTTGATGACGTAATATCGACAAATAAGGGAACGTGGTTCTAAAAAGAAAACTACTTAAATAAGAAAAAAAAATAAGGGAATCGAGCACCAACTCTGTTTGTAGGGGCCTATTCGTAAACACACTCTGTAGAAAATCATATAGGAAATAAGGAGGAGAAATCAGTATGTAGAAAATCATCCACAATGGGTATCCTTGTCATAGGAGGGGATTTTCTCCTATGACGCCTCTAAAATCACATGATTGAGCGACATTGTGGATGATCCGCTCCGTTGAACTTGATCTACATATTCTAAAACCCCAACACACTAAGTTTGGGTGAATTCGTCATCGTTTGACCCTCCATCGAGCCATGTGAAAAGTTCTATTTATTCAAAACCGTTAAAATTGATACGAGTGGATGAAGGGTCAAACGACGACGGGTTCACCCCAAACTTGGTGTGTTGGGATTTTAGAATATGTAGATCAAGTTCAACGGAGCGGATACATTGTAGAAATATGTTATCAACTTTTGTAGGGGCCTATTCGTAAATCTTTATCACTCCTCCCACATCGGGTCCTCCGCTGTCCGATATAAAAAAGTCACGAAACCCCCCTCGCGAGCTTTTACCTACTTCCCTCCGCCCAGAAAAGGAAACCCAAGATTTCTCCTTTTTTTTCATCCCCCACTTTTAATTATTAAAGGAAACTACTTTTAGGAGAGAGGGGGAAAAAATGTGCTTCCTGCTGGCGTGCGAGGAGGAGGTGAGGGTGATCGGAAGCCAGAAGGCACCGGGCGCGTGCCCGTGCTGCGGGGGTCAGGTGATCGCCACCGACGTGGAGTCCCACGTGGCGTCTCTGCTGCTGCCTCCCCCTCTCTCTCCTCACCAAGCGCAAGTTCCAGTGCTCTCGCTGCTCCCGCCGCCTCGTCACCTACCCTTAGCATTTTTTTTTTTTTTGCAGTTGCGCCCCTGAGCAATTAAGGCTTTGCACAAATAATAAATCTCTCTCTCTCGCGTTAGTTTGTGCTTAATTAGTTAAGAGCCTTTTATTAGAGTAACTGTTGTTGTCAGTGTAGAAACGTTTTGATTCCGCTAATTGTGTCTTTTTGTTGAGCCAATCTGTGTATTAATTCTAGTAGGTAATGCGTGATTATGGATCAATCTTTTTTTTTTCTCTTTCTTTTCTGTAAATTGAGTAGTAGAGAATTAGCTGCTTAATGGTGGCTTCTTAATTATTCTAGATAATGGCGTGATCATAGTAGTGCTTTGTTCGTTTGTTTTGTAAAATAGTATTTTCTTTTGCTCAAAATTTGTTTCCTTTAGCATTTTATAGAGGGGGAAAAAGAGAGAATTTTATTACTAAATGCATATATATTTCTCCTTTCCCTTCTCTCTTAATCATTTTATTAATTGCAATTTCTAAGGGCAAGGGCAGCAATCTCCTAGTAGGGAGGTCTTGTTGGAGTGCTCTCAAATATGGGGCCCACTTAGGAGCTTCCTCCTAGCACGAATATTCCAACAAACTCCCAATTAGAAGCTTAATTATTATTATAAAAATACATTCTTCTACCTCTAACATTTTATAAATATATTTTAAAATAATAAATCTAATAAAAAATATTTTTTAGTGGCCCCCCACTCACTAGGAGCTCCCAAGGACTTCACAAATTTGTGAAGCTCTTAAGAGTTCCATGGTGGACCTCACCTCCAACTAGGACTTAGGAGTCTCGTTGGGAGCATGTTGGGAGCTTTTCCTTGCCACTAGGGGTGGTAAATGATCGAATCGAATCGAATACTAAGGTGTTCATATTTGTATTTGTTTAAAATTATCGAATTCGAATGCGGACTCTAATATTCATATATCTAGTTTTTCGAATTCGAACTCGAATACTTGGTATTTGATAAATATTCATGAATATTCACGAATACTTATCGAATATCAAAGTATATTTATTTCGCTAAAGAGTTTAATTTTCAAATAGTATTAAAATTTATAAATTAAAATTATTTCTTTATAATATATGATGTATATATATTTAAATCAAAATTTTAATTAGAAAACAGATTTAAGATTATTTAAGTCTTAAAATCTATATAAAAAACTTAAGTAGAAATGATAAGTGGGTTAAAAATATGACATTATATGTGTAATAATACAAATAATAAGATGTGATCAAATTTTAAACGAATATTTAATAGACAAACGAATCGAATATACATCTGGTTAAATTCTATTCGTTAATAAACTCGAATACTAAAAAATATTTGTTTAGTGATAAATGAACTATCGAATCGAATATGACCGAATAGTTATTCGAACAATTATCGAACCATTTATTAATTATTTGGTTCATTTCCACCCCTACTTGCCACATCGCACTCAAGAGCTTCGTTGGGAGGCTGTTCTTTTCCCATGGAGGAATTGTGGGACCCCTCTCCTCCTTAATTTGTTTGATTTTACTCGTGCACTCTTTTTCAATTTCATGACGATTATTAAACAAACTGTGGTATGATTTGTACGATTGAGCAAATTTAAAAAAAGTCTTTTCACGGTACCTTGTATCACGGAAACGGAATATTAGCCAACTTTATTCAGGATATTTTTGTAAGATATTTCTATAGAGAAATTCTAGAGGAATTGCTCCGGAACAATCTAGGTTGGTGAGTATTTTTAGCGTCTACTATATTATTTAAGCAGTTTTCATCTTTATTTGGATCTAAAAAGCTAGCGTCTATTACGTTCATCGCTCCGCTTTCATCTCATCTTGCTGTTACGTTAAATGCTTCTGATATATTTCGTCAAGTATTCACAAAACATACGGTATGTATTTGTGAAGTACGTCTATATATTTTTCAAATTAAACATCTTCAAAATGGTTTGCACATGCTCCGCATACTTTATTGTCTAAAATGGGACTAGCTACTAGTGTGCCGGTGCTCAAAATACTCTGTTAAATTCGTTGGGCGACGTACAGAAATCCGACTAATACTGTGAATTTTTACTTTGCCCTTCCTCGTAACCGCGCTTTAAAAAAAAATACTTAAATCTTCAGAATGAGAATTCAAAACAACAATGTAAATGTTGGCTATGTTGGAGAAAAGACAAGTTGCCTTTGTGAATAGTCCCACGTGGACTAAGGAGATAAATAGTAGAGGGTTTATAATGTCACTTCTCTTATTAGGCTTTGAGTAGTGTTTTGAGTTTTATATTGTTTGGGCTTTGCATAACGCCCGCTCGCACACGCGTTCATTTTATTTCTTCAGCCTTCTTTTTTGCACGTTTTATACGTTTTTTGACTCAATAATTAGCAACGTGCGTGTTCTTTTTATTTCTTCAGCCTTTTTTTTTGCACGTTTTACATGTTTTTTGACACAGTAGTTAGCAACGTGCGTAAAGGCTGGAGATCATATGGGGAGTTACGCGGATTATTAGAAACGTGCGCGAATTTTGAGCAACGGTTCTCAGGGTTCCGACATCTATATAAACACCCTCTCATTCTCAAAATTCACACAGCGAATAAAGCTTCTCTCTAATCTCTTCTGCCTATGAAAATTTTTTCGTTACAGTTTACATTCTTATTTCGGAGAACCGTCTTCATCTAAGCAGAAACTCTGCACTCTCGCCCCAAGTTCAAAGGCAGGTCGATTCAAGAGTTTTTACCGTTAAGAGGAGAGAAGATCATCTGCACCAAAGCGATAGGTGAAACCTTAATTTAGGTGGAACCTTATTTTTCTAGCCCGATCAAACCAGATTTTTATGTTACTTTAATTACAGATTTTGAATGCTTTAACTTTTAACTTTTATTTGATTTTGTCCAAAAGTAAATGCATGGTTATTCAAGGGAAAGCACGACCCACGCATATATTATGAACAGAGACAAAATTCAACATTTAAATAAATAATGTGCAACGTAGACGCATACGGGATGATGATTTAAGACAAATTAAAACATAATCAACTCAAATATGAACATAGATGCCATTAAAATGAGGATTTAAGACAAATTAACATGACAATAAATAAACTCAAATGTCTGCGGAACCAAGAAATTTACCATTTTCTTATTTATCTTCTGATTGACAAAGGACACAAAGTACACATAACAAATGAAATCATTTTTCAAGACAAAAATCTATTAAGTGCAGACCTAAGTTTAGAAACAATTTAAATGAATTCAAAGAAACAAGACCAATATACTAAAGGGAAAAAACTGAATTAAAACAATGGCAAAATAATCCAAAATAGAGCAAGCATTTAATATCCTATAACAGATAAAATTTGCATAGTTCACAGTGAAGCAGAATAATAAGAAAAGCTTAGCCAACTTTTCCATGGCGGACTCCTCACACAAAAAGTCAGCACTACAGTTCCCCCTAACAAAAAACAAGTAAAAGCTGAGATAATAATTCCTCCCCTTGGTTCTAAGAACAGATGATTCAGAAAACCTCACGCTGCAAAAATCTAATTCATCCTTCTGATCAGCTCATTGATGTAATCTTCCCTGTTTCCAGCATCACCACCTTCAACGTAGTGGTTCCTCTTCTTCTTCATGCCTCCCAATGGAGCCTTGAGCTTGAATGGCCACAGGAAGTTGTTGGCCTCCTTGAAGTGTGGCCCGACAGTCATGATCTCATGAATAAGATCTTCGATGCAAACTATACCATACTTTCCCAATGCCTGAAAGATAATAATGACATCTTGATTATCTGAAAACTATCCAATAGATAATCTTTGATGCAAAAGCAGTTTATGTAGGATCATAGCACGACTGTACATGTATTAGGATGCACAAGATATTACCAGTATCTTCGATAATGAAACTTTTCTACTAGTGATGAATTTCATTAACCAATCAATTACTGATGACACAAGATGCACAAGCTTACACCTTGCTTCATATTTACAGATGTATGAAAGAGATACAAACAGAGATAAGATTCAATTTTATTGTAGGAATAAAAAATCCTACATTTCATAAGCTAAAACCTACAGCAATAGAAGAAACAAGAATAGTAAAAAAACAGCATACCTGTTCAATGATGGAGTTCTCAGTCAAGGGAGTCCTCTGCTTGTCCAGTTTCCCAAATCCCCTCTTGTAAATCAATTCCCTGACACTCTTCAAGTTGGGGTAGCTGTAACAATAAGTATCTCAGTTATTTACTATCATTCTATGAAACTAACTTATGGGGATATAGTAATCAAATTAAATGAAGCTGTTAGTACCCATAAGTAACATAAGGTTCAACTCGGTGCAACATGTTCATGGTAGCCTTGTTAACTTTCAGAAACACCCCGTTAAATATCTGCACAATTTTGTGCGTTAAAATTGAATAACTACTACTAAAAATTTGGGGAGATACAGAAACTGTGCAGTAGTAAGAATTAGTCAACTAACCTGTCTCAGTCGAAGGAGCTGCAAGATCTTCCTGGACTTAGGGTCCATGGCATTGATACTACATCATAATAAAAAAAATAGTTGAAACAAGATAGAACAAACTTGTGAATGATTTAAAAATACTAATAATTATATAGCTGGGAACATCTTAATGGGCTCCAAAAATTATAAACTAAGAAGTTCCAGATACAGCATGATTCAACATTAAACAAACAAGCAAGCAAACAACAATAAGATCTATGAGCTACAACATTCACATGAAGGTTACGGACACCTATAGATGCATAACAGAAATTTTTTTCTTACATTCTAACTTTTGTAATTAATAATGACTCATTCACTAGACTCCATCTGAATAGTCACACATATTCGATGTGATAACTAACATATTTTTCTAACAATTGTGGGAGTAACGATTAAAGAGCCTTAAGACACGATTGCTCCAATTAACTGATGTACTCACAGTGCATCTTAAAATATTACACAAACAACAATGGAGGGAGAAACTGAAAGTAGAGTAAGTATTATCAATCTGAAACTTTTGACATTAACGGCCAAATTGTTTAGGAAGGAAAAGTAGGGATAACCATACTGGTCAGTCATTTTTTGATAAATTCAGGTTAATTTAAATCAAACCCGTTTAAATTCAAAACCGAACCAAACGAAATCCTGACTTAATTGCTGGTGTTGTATATTTGATTAAAGATATGATTGTTGTCATATCTTTATCATGACCATGAGCACCAATACAGAGCAATCCTATATGATTGTTCAAGATATGATTAGACTCAAAAACCATGTTTACAGCTCAATCCTTTTTTAAGGAGATAATTACAGGGCATTCCCTATTGATGAGTTCAGAAACTAACTCTTTAAAATTACAATATGCAAAACAGAATTATCGGCAGCAGACTACGCGAAAATCTGTGAGAATGCACGATAGCAGCTTTGAGAACAATGTTACATTCAGCGATGTCAAATAGTAATCCGGAATTTTTCAGAATATCATAAATTTATTTAAACGAGGACCTTTAGCAATGTCCAGTAGCTTCTTCATCATTATTGTAAGCAACATCAAATAGGGATCAACAAAAAAATATTGTAATGTTAACGTAATAAATGCTGCACAACATACAGCAAAGGCTTTTTATCGTGTCCAAATTCTAATTGATATTGATTATATAGATTAAAAGAATAGAGTGAAAAATAAAAGAAATGCAGTTAAACAAAGATATTAATAGAAATAATAAAGTACCCTCGGATCCTGATGATGAAGAGAAGCTTGGCCTCTGCACTGACGTAAAACCCACCCTTCATTCTAGCCTCTCGCTTCAACCTGATCAATTCCTTCTCCTGAATCACCAAAAGATGATCACAAATCGGTAAAACATAAACAAACAGGACCAAAAAAATATTTTTTTTTTAAAAGATAAGATTTTGATACCTGGGTCTGGTACTCCTTAGCATACTGCTGAGCTCTGCTGAAGATGAGCTTTCTGTTCTCGTGATCCTTCTTCTTCTTCGTCTCTCCAATTATTCCGTGAATGAGTTTATCATTCTTCTTATGAAATGGATTATCTGATCCCACCCTTCATTCTAGCCTCTCGCTTCAACCTGATCAATTCCTTCTCCTGGGTCTAGTACTCCTTAGCATACTGCTGAGCTCTGCTGAAGATGAGCTTTCTGTTCTCGTGATCCTTCTTCTTCTTCTCGGCGGTCTCCTGCTTCTTCGCCAAAGCCCATTCCTCCTCCCTCTTCCTCTTCTTGAGGACCGATTCAGGGATCACTTTCTTCGATTCTGCGGCGGCGGCCATCGCTCTTCTCCTCGGCGTCTATTCCTCTGGATCTCGAAATGAGGAGCGGTTTTTATGAAGGAGGCGGGGGCTTGAGCAGAGTTATGCAGATAGACTCTTTAGCTTAAAGTCTCATATTCTTAGCCGTCAGTTGCCTCCTCTTCTTGAGGACCGATTCAGGGATCACTTTCTTCGATTCTGCGGCGGCGGCCATCGCTCTTCTCCTGAATCAAAACCCTAGTTTAGAAAACCCTAGAACAGATTCTGGACCGAGCAAACCCTAACCCTAGAGAATTTTATAGTTTACCTCGGCGTCTATTCCTCTGGATCTCGAAATGAGGAGCGGTTTTTATGAAGGAGGCGGGGGCTGAGAGGGATTGATTAGGTTTTTATGGGGGTTTTGTTGTCGCTAGGGTTTGCTGTGGGATGGAGGATGGGGATCCAACGGCTGCGGTTCATTGGAGTATTAGGCGATCTCAGCCGTTGGATACGACGCTTTTACGATGCCCGAGTGATCGATCTACCACGGGCCAGCCCCAGTTCTGAATGGCATGGTGGGCCTTGGCCCAGTAGACGCCCAAGAAAAATGTTGTGAGGGGACGTATCTGTCAAAAATAAATTAGTAATTTCCTGTAATTAAGCCCCCATTTTGAGCATTTGAACGCGTATCTTTTTTTTTTCTTCTTATTTTAGAGAAAGTGTATCAAATCCACCATTAATTAGTCATGTGTTGTATTATGGCTGGATTTAAAATGATAATCCTTGATCACCTCTATTTTATATACTAGATGTAGTGTTAGGGACTCGAAGTTGGTGCTAAAGTAATGTAGATTTGAATTTTATTGACCGCTTATTTCTAAAGTGATTAAAAAGAGATAATGCTATTTAAAAAAGATTATCTCCCTACGCATATGGTCCTCCCATACCACAAGTGAAAACTTATCTTAGTAATACATAACAATTCATTGGATATTTTTTTATATAGGTTTTTTTTATATAGGTTTTTTTATATAGGTTTTTTATATAGGTTTTTTTATAGAGGTGAAAACTTATCTAAGCATGCTTAAATATCTAGAAGTCCATTCCTTTTTTTAAAGCGCTTTGACGGTATTGTTTGATATATTTTGAATTGGTTAAATAGCACTTATATTATCTATTGTTCATCTACTTTTCACTCACTTGTACTTGTTGAATAATTTGATGATCTAGGCATGAATAATTGAACTAGAAATATAAATTAATTACCGTTCACCGTCGAAAACAATGGAAGTCTTCTCCTCTCTCCTCCCGTAGCCAATGATGGGAATTAGGTCTCTTTTCTGCATACGGTTGAGAGGAGGGACTCCCACCCTTTAAATAGATATTTGTGATTAACCCTACCCATCATGGTTTAATCACAACCGTGGGATTACACTCCGGTTGATCCTATCCTTTAGATATTCAAGATAACCACCCAACTTGATAAACTTGAAACTGTCTAACCAGACCATGTGGTTAGCATCCTGATCCTAACTTGAATCGATGACAACTTTAAATCAAATCCAAAATCGAGTAGGTTGGGCCACTTGGGTTCGTTGGATTAATCTAACCCAACAATCTCCCACTTGGCACAACATACCTCATTTTAATTTTCAAAAATATTTAAATTTTCAAAAACTTTCAAAAGTCGGGTGCGCACCCATTTATTTTAGAAAACAACTTGTTGCCATGATTCTAATTAGGATAGTTTCCGAAACCTTTTCCTTAAAACAAAAGTACCACTAATGGTTGATCGTGAAAACACTATATGCTCTAATATGGCACAAGGTCACTCCACGGTCCAACCGCTAGTACCAATAATGTTCTAAAGATTTTTCCTTATGGTGGTTTTAGTGGAGTGTAATAGAGCCGTACATCCCTTATGGTCAAATCCGATGTACGCCCTTAAGCGTCCTCTGCAACATACACAAACGTGTATGCCGTTCTGAAACTTTTACCGGCATCCGCCATGTGAAAACCTTTAGTCCAGAACGAAAGCCTCAAATGTGATGCCCAATCACATTCAGCTTCTGCACAAATTTAAGAGTCTCTTTACTTTAACCTTTATGACTCTATGGACCACTGTCTTTAATACGAGTTTCTTTACAATTAACTTGAAACTCTTTACTTTAAACTTTAGTTTTCTTTACTTTAAAATATATATCAAGCAACAATGACCAAGAACACAATGCTTGAAAATGGAAAAATTCTTATTCTTTACAAACTGTACGACTACCTGATTGTCACAATATAACTTTACTAGTCTCTGAATGGAATCCACCACCTTTAGTTCACTGATAAAATTCTTGAGCTAAGAGGCACGCAACATTGCTTCAAAAACATCAACATACTCTGTCTCCATGGTGGATGTCGTCACTAAGGACTGCTTGGCACTTTTTCAGGAAACTGCTCCTCCAGCGAGCAGAAATATATAACCTGATGTTGATTTCCTGCTATCAGCACATCCTGCGAAATCTGAATCTGAATAACCGCAGAAATATATAACCTGATGTTGATTTCCTGCTATCAGCACATCCTGCGAAATCTGAATCTGAATAACCGACGACTTCTAGATTTTTAGACCTTCTGCTGCGAAATCTGAATCTGAATAACCGACGACTTCTAGATTTTTAGACCTTCTGTAGACCAACATGAAATCATTGGTCCTTTGCAAATACCGCAAAACCTTCTTTATAGCTTTCCAATGAGCTACACCAGGATTTTGCTGAAACCTACCTAATATTCCCACGATATAACTGATGTCTAGCCTGATGCATGACACCGCATACATTAGACTGCCAACTGCAGAGACATACTCCTCAGAGTTCACGAGCCTACGCTCAACTTCATTTCGTGGGCATTGAGATTTGTTGAACATATCTCCTTTGACAACTGGGGCTTCACTTGGTGCACAACACTTCATGCCATATCATTGAAGGACTTTCTCAATATAAGCCCTTTGAGATAAGCCCAACAAGCCTTTAGTTCGATCTCTATGGATCTTGATGCCCAAAACATAATGAGCATCTCCGAGGTCTTTCATATCAAAATGCCTCGAAAGAAAATCTTTAGTCTCATGTAGGAGATGAATATCGCTGCTGGCAAGCAATATATCATCTACATATAGTACTAGAATGAGGAATCGGCTCCCACTGATTTTAAGGTATATGCAGCGATCGACAGGGTTTCCTCGGAAGCCATATGACTCATCATGTTGCGAGCAACATCTTGATAAGTACAATTTCTTCTTTCAGCTACTCTATTTTGCTGCAGAGAACTTGGGAGAGTGTACTGAGGAACAATGCCTTGTGACCATGATATGTGTCGTCCTAATCGCTTTTACCATAGAATTCCCCACCTCGATCAGAACGCACATATTTAATCTTTCTTTCTAATTATTTTTTTTTTAACTTCAGCTTGAAAGATCTTGAAAACATCTAGTGCCTCATATTTGTGGTGAAGACGAAAAATATAGGCATAGCACAAAAAATTATCTATAAAGGAGATGAAGTATCGCTGACCACTATGAGAGAGAATGGGAAGGTCCACAAATATCTGTATGAATGAGGTCAATGAGACCTTCACTCCTGAATTACTATTAATCCTAGGACGCTTTGTACCAGAAGAAAATGAATTCACAGACATACAGAGAGGGAGAAAAAGAGATGCATCCAGATTTAATCTATAAAGACCGTCAATTAAGAAACCATGTCTGATAACATCCAAACCATTTTTGATAGCAACAAAATTATCCTCAAAAACAAAACTATAACCAGATTCAAAAAATCTAGAAACTGAAATAAAATTCATTCTCATAGGAGGTACATAGAAAGTGTCTGATAAAACTAAGCAAACTCCAGAATCCAAGTGCAGACTGAAAGTCCCAACGAGCTCCACCTCCATGGCCATGGCTGGAGTTTTTCTTCATGCAGTCAACTTTGAGTTTTCAGATAACTTTGAGTCTTCATGCAGTCAACTTTGAAAGTTGATATATATATTCTTTTTTTGATCTGTAAAAAATTTCTTCATGTCGGGTCTGGAGTTATTCTTCATCGTGGATCAAAATTATACTGTAGCCATTATACTAATTAAATAGATCGAAAAAAATACTGTAGCCATGGCCATGACTGAAATCTTTACTGCGGCCATGATAAAACGTCGAATATATATATATTTTTTAATTAATCCGGGGAAAAAAAACTTTAATTCTAGATCAAAAATTCATGCACAATCTAGCTCTGATATCACTGTTGAATAATTTGATGATCTAGGCATGAATAATTGAACTAGAAATATAAATTAATTACCGTTCACCGTCGAAAACAATGGAAGTCTTCTCCTCTCTCCTCCCGTAGCCAATGATGGGAATTAGGTCTCTTTTCTGCATACGGTTGAGAGGAGGGACTCCCACCCTTTAAATAGATATTTGTGATTAACCCTACCCATCATGGTTTAATCACAACCGTGGGATTACACTCCGGTTGATCCTATCCTTTAGATATTCAAGATAACCATCCAACTTGATAAACTTGAAACTGTCTAACCAGACCATGTGGTTAGCATCCTGATCCTAACTTGAATCGATGACAACTTTAAATCAAATCCAAAATCGAGTAGGTTGGGCCACTTGGGTTCGTTGGATTAATCTAACCCAACAGTACTTAGTAGCAAGAAAACACATTAAAGTTTTTTAAACTTGCACATATATATCCTCACTTGTTTTTGGTAGCACTTATATATCTTAAAGTTATTAAACCTGGCACTTAAATATCCTAATTTATTTAAATCTTGCGCTTAAATACCCTAATATTTTTTTTAATATGACACTTTAATACCCTAAAGTTTTTAAATTTTGCACTTAAATACTCTCAAGTTTGAATAATTGAGGGAATTCACGTGCAAGTTTTAAAAACTTGAGGGTATTTAAATGTTAATCGTAAAAACAGTGGTGCATTTAAGTGCCACTTAAAAAAGTGATGGCATATAAGTGTAAGTTTAAATAAAATTAGATATTTTTTTTTTTTTTAACTACCGAATACAAGTTGAACTATATAAGTGAGAACTATATAAGTGAGAAGTAGTTGAAACAACAGGGTATTTATAATGCTTTCTAGCCATCTGGATTTGAGATTCAGGCGACATGCCTTAAAAAATGGGCCGGATTGATTTTTTTTGTTGATAATAATGTGAGAGAAATGGCCCATCACAGTGTAATCGAGTTTAGCCTAGTATAACCTCGGGCTAAGCATGACATTAAGATTATTTCTATGGCCCGTGGAAAAATCTTAGTTGGTATCCCTTTTTCATTATAGTGAGTCTTGAATAAAAAATAAATACAATTTATGAAATATATAACGAGAGCTGTATTTGAAATAATCGAATTG